AGTGGGGCGGGGAGGGGAGGTGACACGTGCCCCCCAATGATCCCATCGATATCCCTAATTTCGATCGGATCATTGGGGTTTATTAGTAATAAACCGGCATTTTGTGACCCCCACTGCCACTGTGTAGCATATTATTACGTGGCCAGGGACTCTATGAGATGATAGGACAATAGTCTGAGTCCATGATTGGCAATAAGTAACGGCAAAGCGGTTATAAGCGACTCACAGAATTGTGCGCAGTTGCGTCTACAGAGTCCACGACTTCCCTGAAGGCATCGACACCTTCAGCGAGCGCGATGCCGATCACTAACAACGCGGTTCGCAATTCGACCCTCGATCGATGGCTGCCCCATCGCCGCACACGCGTCGAGTAACAAACAAGGGACAAGTCCTTACTTATTACTCACAACTTCTTACTTACTAACTCCTTACTTACTAACAACTCCTTACGTACTAACTCCTTACTTACTAACAACTCCTTACTTGTTAACAACTCTTTACTTACTAACGCCTTACTTACTAACAACTCCTTACTTACTAATAACTCCTTACCTACTAACAACTCCTTACTTACTAACAACTCTTTACTAACAAGTTCTTACTTACTAACAAGTCTTTACTTACTAACACCTCTTTACTTACTAACAACTCCTTACTTACTAACAACTCCTTACTAACAAGTCCTTGCTTACTAACAACTCCTTACTTACCAACATCTCTTTACTTACTAACTCCTTACTTACTAACAACTCTTTACCAACAACGACTTACTTACTGACAACTCCTCTATCATTTTTCATTGCTGGCGTGGTTGCCCGCAGCTACCTGACAATCCTGGCTCCACCATTGCATGTGTTATTGACGTCGGAGACTGTTCATTGGAGGGCAACACGTATTTATTACAGACGCTCCAATTACAGTGGCGAAGCTGAAGAGGTAACGGCCTCTTCGCCCGTACTCTATAGAGGGAAACGTTCCCCGAGCTTTAGCCCACGCTAGCTCCCTGGTTCCCTCTATCCTGGTCCTCTCTCAGGCGGCTATCTGACCTGGCCCAGCTTCAGCGCAGGATCCCGATCACCAGCCACACGAGTCCGGCCCTCAGAAGGACATCGGGCCCTCGTGGCTCTGGTGTCGCACACCCTGGCTTGCTTTGCCCGGCCCTCAAAAGGACAGCGGGCCTAAAGGAGTTCCAGGGTCTGGCTAGTCGGTCTTCTTTCTTCAACTGGCTCTTCATCTTGCTTGAGTCGAACTGCCCTCTCAGTTCTCCGGGTCCCACCTTTTATACTGTCCCTCACTGAGGGGTGGGGCTGGGAGGGATCACAGCGTCCCCCCACAGCCCCCCCCCCCAGGGTGGTGGCCGTAGAGGACGTGGTTGTGGCCACCGCCCTACAACCGCGTGTCACCCTCCCGTAACACCTCGACACATTTTGATTTAAAGCTTTCGTGACTGCAGTAATTCATATTCTTAGCTCTTTCGGTAAAGCCACGTTGAAGGGAAACAATAAAATATATATAAAACAATAAAAATTCTCACGACGTTTCGACCATAACACAAACGGTCGTCATCACACCGAAAGAGCTAAGAATATACCTCTACACATGTTCCTCCCCGTGGTCGCGTCGATTTTTTTTTCCACCGGGCTTTCCGATTTTTCCCTCCGCATTCAGAAACATGCATTGACATTGTTTCGATTACGTTGGTGCTATAAAATGTTCAAATGATGGGGGTAACTTTATTGAGCTATCATAATTTGCGATGGCCAGGTCGCTTTTGAATAATAAGTGAATACCTCAGTGGGCTTTGCCTGGGTAGGATGGGGATGGTTTATTTGTATTTGTGTTGGGGTGATTTATTTACCTTTCTTGTACTTTGCACCACTATCGTGTTGTTGTACTGTTTGTTGTTGTGACGTTCTTACCCGCCCCGACTGGACATCTGTAAAAAAAGAGCTTTATAGCTCAACGGATTCCTCCAATATGAACACATATTCTTTGACTTGATTCCGTCATATCCTGGGTGGAGCAAACGGAGTTCCATAGTTCAATTTATTTGGTATAGCCCTGTGAGCCATTCGGCTCTTGAATCGGGTGCAACCACAACAAACAAAAAAACAAAAAACATGACCAAAACATCTTAAAGTGACTATGTGACTGTTGCAAACAGAAAATCCAGGAAAAAAAATCATCAAAATATTCCTGAAATAGCACCGTACACCAACGCTGTGTGCAAAAATCCCAGTTCCCAGTTCCTAGCACACTGCACCGGAGATAATTCAGATTAAAGCAGTCGGGTTAATTGATGATTCAGCACCCACTGATTCGTCCCAGTCACTCATTCGCCTACATGTCGCTGTTTGATCGCTACTATACCACGGTTATTTTTTTCCATGAACTTCGCTCATGTATTCCTCCACCCACGTTGAGAACTCGTTCTCTACCAGCAGCAGGCACTGACTGTTTTGTCTCGTCCACCACACTGCTTTCAACCACCACCATCACACTGCAGTTAATGATGAGTGGGTGGGTGGTTGTGGTTTATGATGAGTGGGTGCATACTCTTTGGTTCTATTGGGTAAAGTCACGTAGGTGAAAATAAAATAACAAAAAATCACGACGTTTCGGCCACAACACAAGCGGCCTTCATCAGGTGAAGGGACGAGACTGTCTGGAGGACAGCGCTGGAGTGGGAGAAGCCACGCTTAGATCACGACCTTTAAGCTGTGTGAGAAGAAAAAACACAAAGCGCCTTGACAAAGGAATTAGCATATATAATATATAACTTTACCCAATAGAACCAAAGAGTATGGATCCTAGCAGTCACGAAAGCTTTAAATCTAGAATTGATGAGTGGGTGGTTGTGGTTGATGATGAGTGGGTGGTTGTGGATGTGGTGGATGATGAGTGGGTGGTTGTGGTTGATGATGAGTGGGTGGGTAGTTGATGATGAGTGGGTGGTTGTGGTTGATCATTGGTGGGTGGTTGATGATGAGTGGGTGGGTGGTTGATGATGAGTGCGTGATTGTGGTTGATGATGAGTGGGTGGTTGTGGTTGATGATGAGTGGGTGGTTGTTGTTGATGATGAGTGGGTGGTTGTGGTTGACGATGAAGTGGGTGGTTGTGGTTGATGATGAGTGGGTGGTTGTGGTTGATGATGAGTGGGTGGTTGTGGTTGATGATGAGTGGGTGGTTGTGGTTGATGATGAGTGGGTGGTTGTGGTTGATGATGAGTGGGTGGTTGTGGTTGATGATGAGTGGGTGGTTGTGGTTGATGATGAGTGGGTGGTTGTGGTTGATGATGAGTGGGTGGGTGGTTGTGGTTGATGATAGGTGGGTGGTTGTGGTTGATGATGAGTGGGTGGTTCTGGATAATGATGAGTGGGTGGGTGGTTGATGATGAGTGGGTGGTTGTGGTTGATGATGAGTGGGTGGTTGTGGTTGATGATGAGTGGGTGGTTGTGGTTGATGATGAGTGGGTGGTTGTGGTTGATGAGTGGGTGGTTGTGGTTGACGATGGGTGGGTGGTTGTGGTTGATGATGAGTGGGTGGTTGTAGTTGATGATGAGTGGGTGGCTGTGGTTGATGATGAGTGGGTGGGTGGTTGTGGTTGATGATAGGTGGATGGTTGTGGTTGATGATGAGTGGGTGGTTCTGGATAATGATGAGTGGGTGGGTGGTTGATGATGAGTGGGTGGTTGTGGTTGATGAGTAGGTGGTTGTGGTTGATGATGGGTGGGTGGTTGTGGTTGATGATGGGTGGGTGGTTGATGATGAGTGGGTGGTTGTGGTTGATGATGAGTGGGTGGTTGTGGTTGATGATGGGTGGGTGGTTGTGGTTGATGATGAGTGGGTGGTTGTTGTTAATGATGAGTGGGTGGTTGTGGTTGATGATGAGTGGGTGGGTGGTTGTGGTTGATGATAGGTGGGTGGTTGTGGTTGATGATGAGTGGGTGGTTGTGGTTGATGATGGGTGGGTGGTTGTGGTTGATGATGAGTGGGTGGGTGGTTGTGGTTGATGATGGGTGGGTGGATGTGGTTGATGATGAGTGGGTGGTTGTGGTTGATGATGGGTGGGTGGTTGTGGTTGATGATGGTTGGTTGTGGTTGATGATGAGTGGGTGGTTGTGGTTGATGATGAGTGCGTGGGTGGTAGTGGTTGATGATGAGTGGGTGGTTGTGGTTGATGATGAGTGGGTGGTTGTGGTTGATGATTGGTGGGTGGGTGGTTGATGATGAGTGGGTGGTTGTGGTTGATGATGAGTGGGTGGTTATGGTTGATGATGAGTGGGTGGTTGTGGTTGATGATGAGTGGGTGGTTGTGGTTGATGATGGGTGGCTTTAACTAAACTAGCATAAACATTCAACTAAATTAATATCAAATTTTAACTAAATTTGCATGTTCTTGGTTCTTTCGGTAAAGTCACGTAGAAGGGAAACAATAAAATAATAAAAATAGAAAACAATAACATTCTCACGACGTTTCGACTGCAACACAAGCAATCATCATCAGGTGTGAAAACCACAGCAAGAAAATATGAAAAAAGTGGCGGTTTGTTTCTTAACGTTTTCACACCTGATGATGATTGCTTGTGTTGCAGTCGAAACGTCGTGAGAATTTTATTGTTCTATATTTTTATTATTTTATTGTTTCCCTTCTACGTGACTTTACCGAAAGAACCAAGAATATGAATCCCTGCAGTCACGAAAGCTTTAAATCAAAAAAATAATTTGCATGATTAATTAAACTAAATTAGCATAAAAATTTAACTATACTAGCGCAAAATGTGAACCAAACTAGCATAAACATTAAACTAAATTAGTAAAAAAAAAAAATAAAGGAAATTAGCATATAGATTACAATAACTTTGCGTAACAAAATTAGCGTAGGACAACCGTCGGCCAATCGGCGCGCGCCATCGCCGGAGCCGCGCCCAGGTTTTGTCTCTCGACCAATCAGATCGCTGTTCCACACCCCCCCGTCTCCCCACCTTGGCACGCGACGACCAATCAGATCGCGGGAGGAGTGCGACCGTTACGATTTGAATTCCCAACGCTGAACGCCTGCGCGCTTGTGTGCGCGTGTTCGCGTTCAGTTTTTTTCTTATTATTATTTTAATCATTAAAGTTCGCGAGTGTCAAGGTAAGCTACGTTTACTTTTGCCCGTTGTTGTTGTTTTTCCTTTGCTTTAAAGCATTGTTTCAAGAGAAACATTCGCTGCTGTTGTTGTGAAAGGCCGATGCGCCCTGAGGCCTAGTCTATCCTATTGCCCCGCGCTAATGTTAAACTCAGCGACGCGATCGTAAAAAAAAAAAATTGTTTGTGGCTTCGATCTTGACTTTTAAAAGCTTTCGCGACTGCAGGAATTCATATTCTTTTGGGTCTTTCGGCAAAGTAACGTTAGATAGGTTTCAAAGAAAATAACAAACGCCTCACGACTTTTCGATCGCAACGCATCTGCGCGGCCGTGTGCTGCCATCGAAACGTCGTAGTTAATTTTTTTTAATTTTCTTTGACACCTATCTACGTGACTTTATCGAAAGACCCAAATAATATGTTGTGCTTTCGCTCTCCAAAAACACAACCGGCGTTTTGCCCCCCGAAATTTGCCCCGTTCTGTTTTACGCGACCAAAACTCTTTGGGTATATTTCGCGATTTAACAACCACCACCACCTCCCGTCACCCCAAACAAAAATAAAAAAAACTTACGCTACACCGACGCACGTGAAGAATTAGCGGCAATGAACGTTTCCGAGTACAATTGTACGACGCAATGAGGTGTGGGTGGGTGGTTGGTGGTTGTTGGCGGTGGTAAAGTTACAGCTGCCGTGTTAAAGCGTGCGTTGTGTTTGTGCGTGTTTTGGAGGCCGACGTGTCTGCAACGTTCCATGTAGCCGCCGTGATATTGTGTTCAGTGTTTAGTTACCATTGCGCCGACGCAGCCGCATTGACCGGCGTGGTGAAGTATGGTCACTCAACGCCCCGGTTAACCGAAACCGACCCTTGGCCCAACAGTGGATTCACCCGAGATCGATTCCAGGCCGATGCTGACATCCGGATACGGTCCTGTCAACCCACCTCTGACAAGCGTGGTGAAGTATGGTCAAATACGCTTTGATTCTTTCGGTAAAGTGTGTTTTATTTTCTACCTTACGTGACTTTACCGAAAGAACCAAATGGTATGGATTCCTGCAGTCCACGAAAACTTCAAAGCAAGATTATGGTCAAACAACTCCACGTGTTTACATTACGAGACCTCCTTTGCCAGTAACAAGATATAGGAATAGGTTTTACCCTTTTAACTGGCACAAAAAACTGACACCTTTATTCAAGGCATCATGTTTGCAATAACCACAACACAAGCAGTCAAAATGCAAACAAAAGAGACAACTCTGATAATAATATGCACTGTACTTGAATTTGATTGGTCCACACCCTAGACGGATTTTCTTAGAGCCTAGTCTCCACTGGTGTTGGACCAGAATACTGATGCCTTGAATAAAGGTGTCAGTTTTTTGTGCCAGTTAAAATGGTAAAACCTATTACTATATCTTGTTACTGGCAAAGGAGGTCTCATAATGTAAATGCTCACCCCGAGCCCTCAATACTCTGATAGTGCGCTGTTTTTGAGTTGTATGCCTTTTGGCGTCTTCTGGTCCAACACCAGTGGAGACTAGGCTCTAAGAAAAGCCGTCTCGGGTGTGGACCAATCAAATTCAAGGACAGTGCCAATATTAGTATCAGAGTTGTCTCTTTTGTTTGCATTTTCACTGCTTGTGTTGTGGTTATTGCAAACATGATGCCTTGAATAAAGGTGTCAGTTTTTTTGTGCCAGTTAAAAGGGTAAAACCTATTACTATAACTCCACGTGTGTTTCATTTGTTTCCTTGCTGATTGGCTGTGTTGGGTTTCGGCAAACATTCATATTTACGCGTTCTAACACCCAGATGGCAAATTTCCAGTTTGTTGCATGTCGGGAAGTACGCAAAACATTTTGAACAGACACACATATTCACAACTTTGCCTTTTAGATGTATGGAGATAACCCTGTGAGCCATTCGGCTCTTGAATCGGGTGCAACCGCAACAAACAAAAACGTGAACAAGGAACATCTTAAAGTGACAGAAAAATCCATGAAAAAAACGGCAAAGTCTTCCAGAAAAAGCACCGTACACCAACGCTGTGTGCAAAAATCCCAGTGGGATGCAAGTCAAACAATAACGGCCATAAGACAATTTAGATTAATGTTATCAGTCTAGCTCTGTACACGTCTTGTCTTGCAGATTGGTAAAGTTTAGGCAAAGCCTATAGACCGCACCCAGATATCGTAAAAAAGCGCACCCGTTGTCAATGATAATTTGATGTGCATACAGCAGTTGCTGTTACCGTCCCGCTGTTACAATTACACCGATTGCTTTACGTCACCAAAGACACAATTAGAATTTTAATTTGACCCCCGGGTCTGATCGCGTTAACTGTGGAGTGGGGGGAGGAGGGGTCAAGAGGTCAATTGCACGTGTGTGCAGTTGATTGAATATTGACTTGCGATGGCTTGTGAGGAAGAGGAGGATGATGGCGATGCAAGTCTGGTGGTGTTCTCCGAGTTGTGTTGTAGAACGTGCACAACTTTTGGGGATTGCGTAATGTCATTTTTGTTCCCCTGTAACACTTTTTATTTAGTAAATTCTAACGAATGGACGTGGGGCGGGCTTGGAGTATTGAGGGCCCGTGACAACGTGTTTTGGCGGCACACCAACCAGCCCTTTTAATTCAGCAGTTCGAGGTGCTTTTATTATTGCAGCGAGAGGGGGAATCGTCTCGTTCAATCTCCATCCACCACCATCGCCATGGGTTTAAGTGGCCACGGAAACCCATCAAGGGAATATGTAGGGAGAGGAATTGGGGTTAGAGAGTGTACACAACTTTAATTTTCCATAATTTCAACAATTAATCGGCATGCGCATCATTGACAGTATCCTGATTGATGAGCAAAACAAAATCACAATTTAATCATCAATCCATTGTCATAAATGAGATCAAAATATCAATGGTCATGCTCAAAACTACATTGCTATTATAAAAATCATCGAACCTCCATGATGACAATTCCAATATGGTCATTATGATGATCAGAATTACAGTTATTTTCTTCTCAAAATCATGAACATTTATTAAAAGTGTGCTTAAAATGCAAATTGACCAATTTCAATATGCACACAATCAATTGCATGATTCTTATCAAAGCAAGTCCTATGTATCATGGTGTTTTCATGCTTATGTTGTCAGAAGCGTGTGTTTTAAAAGCCCACTTTTTTACACATTTTTAATTAACTTGCCCTGTTTGTATATTATTTCAAATGTTGACGCTTAATATCTTCGGATCCGCGAAGCCTATTGAGCCGAACATTTGTACACAGGCGCGTCGTATTCTCACGTGACAATTCAAGATTTAATTTAAAGAACCGGTCCAGATCCCGCTGATCCTGGGCTTTTTCGTGTTTTTTTACTTGTTTTTGTGTTGCACCATTTCAAATATATATTAGAATTATCCAGACAAAAATGAACTGTTGGTGTCTGGATTGAGATCTTAGAATTAATATGTGCATCCAAATTATTTGTACAAGATTAACATAAACAAATACTAATAAAAAAGATGTTTTTCAATGGACACACCCTTTTATTTGCACTCTAAAGTAGAAATTAAATTATTTTGATCCCTGAATTAATCAAATATGCTGAATGCAAGTGTGTGGAATATATCTAATTGCTCACCTGCATAGGGATATTTGACCATTACAGGACCCTTAGGAGGGAAAAAAACACCAGGGCATATGAGAAGCTAAACACAATCTCTCCGCTGATGGATTCAATCCACTTGCTGTACTAACCACTCATGGTCCCCTCGCAGCCCCAGCCGTTTCTGGAGTTTCACAAATCTCTCTGTGATCCACCCACCCTCGTGCGTTACCGCTGTCCTTGTGTCCAACATTACTCCGGTTCCTGTGGAAAAATATAATTTTCGTTCTGATAGGCTCTTGACGGTGATTTTAAATAAAGGTTTAAATACATGAATTCAAAAACCACAACCGTCACAATTTCATTGTGACGATAAAAAAATGTGCAATTGTATTATACAAATTCAAATATGTAATCAGTGTTTTAAATATATCCAAAGATGTGCAGCATTGCTTCTGCTTTGTGAGCGATTGCTTTGTGTGAAAGCACCTTTAACAATTGTTCACTTAAGCGCACATACCACACGGAGCCGTTCTTGGCTTTACATTTTTGTGGGTAATTCAAGTTTTGCATCTTTTTACCGCAGTTCTTTGAGTGACATACCCACTGTCATTTGCTTTACAGGACATGTGTAGTGGGGTAAAGTGTGAGTAACCCTGCCCCCCCCCCCCACCCCACCCCTTCCAACAACACGTTTGGTCAAACATGGAAGAGTAGACCAAACACCTTCTGGCTTTCGCTGTCGTGGAGGCCCCTTCTGCCAGCGGTGGCGTCAAAAAGCAATTTCTGGGCCGCACCTTCACCTTTTCTACAAGAGTGGCCGCTATCTCATTCCGATTACAGACGTTCCCCCGTCTTAAGATGCCGATTTCGATTCGCGATCTGCCACTCATAGGGGTCCCGTAGTTTCTATTGACGATACATGGTTTACGTTCTCACACGGGCCGCCAATTTCGACCAATCGGAGCGCTCCGAAAAGTGGAGTCGGGCAGACCTCATCCAATCGGCGACCTGCCCTTTAATGAGTGTTTTGAGGACAACTGGCTAGCTTTAAGCCATCCAGTTTCTTAGCCTAAGGTTGAACATTTTATTTTATGCTCTAGGCTTTCGCGACCAATATCATCCATAATCCAGGTTTTTTTTGGTTAGATCTCTTAAATATAGAAATGTGTCGTCGAATCCGCCATCACCCAACACAGCCAATTAGCAAGGTTTGTCACGTAAACAGAAAGTGGCCAATTCGTTAATAGTACAGCACACCACCGGTGTGTTGGAGAGCAAAGCCACACACACCATCTACAATCTGAGTACGACGTTTCGCCAGTAATTGCAACTAGCTTCATCAGGCGACAGCCAGATTCGTGAAGAAATCTGTTTCGTTCCTTAAATAGAGGGATGGATGTGATGACATCACTTTAGTGCTCTTCTCGCGCGAAGTGAGGGGGAGATTAATGAATGCGTATAAATGACTATGGGTGTCCGTTTCTGGTTGGGTTATTTATATGGTAATCAATGGCCATTGTTCTTGTATCTCCTGTCGATTGTGTGTACTATAAACTATGTTTAATAACTATAAGCTGTGTTTAAATACTATAAACTATGTTTGAATATTATAAACTATGTTTTCAGGGTGAAAAAAAGGTCAGCTTCCGATCGTCGCGGAACAAATTAAGTCCCTTAACGCGCATTTTTCCTATGAATGATAATTTCAATTGACGATTTTTTCGTGGGAGGGACCACCTATTGCATTTAGCAGCAGCAGCAGCAGCGTTGGTTGAAATTTTCAAGCGCGGTAGAACTATAATAGGGTTTTTTCCACTTTTTTCTGGCAACAAAACTGGCAACAAAACTGAATCATTTTGCAAGGAATCATGTTTACATTAACCACAATACTTGCAGTCAAAATGCAAAAACAGGTCCCTGCAGGGTGGGCTGGTAGGACATGTCTCTGCGCTGTCTATTGCTGATTTTACACCCAACAGCACGAGATTTCACGTCGTTAAAGTATTGAAAGGGGACGGACGGATGGACGGACACATTAATCTATTGCAGGCTGGTACACTCAGTTTACTACTTCGTTCCTACCAGTAAAACTGTCTTTGAACTGTTCGCCTTTTGGCGTCATCTGGTCGAACACCGTATGAGACCAGGCTCTAAGGAAAGCTGTCTCTAGTGTGGACCAATCAGTTTCAAGGACAATGCATAAATTATCAGAGTGTTTTTTGTTTGCATTCCGACTGCAAGCATTGTGGTTAATGTAAACATGATTCCTTGCAAAAGGTTTAAGTTTTGTGGCCAGAAAAAAGGGGAAAACCCCTATTATTATATTTTGGTACTGGCAAAGGAGGCCTCATGATATAGATGCAGTAAAACTGTTGACACCTCATAATAATAATAATACATGATATATAACGTGCCTTTATAAATCCACTGCGGGTTGATAGGCCTCCCCGACACTGTCGTGGCAGTCATGGGGCTGTTTGACCAGACCTCGCCCACGCCGGTCGGCGCTCGTTGACGGTTGTCCTGCGGTCGACAAAATAATTTAAGGGTACACCCGTCCAGTTCGTGAGGTTTGATTGCCGAAGGGCAGGACCCAGGGCTTGTTGAGGCAACACTCGCCGCCGATGTTTGCCGTGGCCTGGAATCAAACTCGCGTTTGCGCGGTTGACACTCGCGGCGCCCGCGCGCCGACCGCTGCCTCCGCATCGCTCTCCACCAGCGTGCTTCGTTTCTGCATCTCGCCCACGTGTGCGGGCATCCACCCTTCCTTGGCGGTTGCCCTGCCCTCGTGTTAGCATTTCAGTCGCTCGGCATTGCTCGTGCGCAACGGTCCCGGGGAAATGCACCGTGTGACCGATTGCGGGCGAAGAAATGTAATTATTGCTCTTCAATGCAGCGTTACAAAGATGAAGCGCGCGCGTGGCGCACTGGCTCTCGAGCAGCGGTTCTCAAAGTGGTGATCACGCGGTACTACCGGGTGGTTCCGCGACGCTGCTCCTGGTGGGTCCGCGGTGACCGAGATGCAAGTGCGCCGGTTGATCCAGACAGCAATGGCGACATTTATTAGGGACGTTCATAATTTTCTTGTGATGTTTGATATCTTAAAATGACCCTGATTAAACTGTCCCTAACCCTAAGATCTGAACACCGCTCCCATCCCGAAAAAAAAACAAAAACCTTATTGCTGCGTAAAAAAAAAAATGCGTTTTATATAAATCCTTTTGTATTAGTGGTATTTAGATAAAGTAGTGAATGTGTTTTGTCACCATGGGTGGTGGATGCTGATTGGTCCTTGGGCCAAAAGAGTTTGTGAAACACTGCTCTAAGCTACATATGTACAGAGACTCCACTACTTACGAACGAGTTAGGTTCCAGAAGTCTGTTCGTTATTCGATTTGTTCGTAAATCCAACTTTACTCCTGTCGATTCCAAACATGTTGTACGTCGTGTACACTAAACACGGGGAATCGCTTTAAAAGTTGTATAATCTCCTGTAGATGTGAATGCCACTGGTTCTTCACATTCTGCAGATGTTGATGCCACTGATTCTTCACGTTCTACAGATGTAGATGCCACTGGTTCTTCACATTCTACAGATGTCGATGCCACTGGTTCTTCACATTCTACAGATGTAGATGCCACTGGTTCTTCACATTCTGCAGATGTTGATGCCACTGATTCTTCACGTTCTGCAGATGTAGATGCCACTGGTTTGGCATGTTCTGTAGATGTAGATGCCACTGGTTCTTCACGTTCTGTAGATGCCGCTAGTTCTTCACGTTATGTAGATGCTGCTGGTTCTTCAAGTTCTGTAGCTGTAGATGCCAACACCGCCATCCATTCCGCGGCGGTTGAACTTACGAATCTCGGTCCGAACAGATAACTGGACGTACGGACAGGTTTGTTTGTAAGTCGAATGTTCATAAGTTCCTGTATGTTGAACTTCTTTCGCACCGTACGTAGCCTTGTCCTGCTCATTGGAGGTATGCGCCACTGTTGATAATTGTGCTTTTGTTCTCATTTTACCCTCGCAGCCACTCAACCTGAATGCAAAACTAATTATAACCGTGCAGTGAACACAACAAACCGTGGCAAGACTTGTAACAGTTTTGGGACCTTTGTCAGCCCACCGCTGGAGGGTAACAGCATGGCAGCGGTCACACTTTACCGCACTGGTTTGCGACGGGTGGAGCTCTCCAGATCCCGGCTGGGCTTAGGACTTTATAAGCAGCCCTTCGTACGTTCCCCTTGAAGCAAAGCGACGGAGCCAGCTTCGTGACTCGGCGGTCGTTTGTCCTCCAGGTCCGGCCGTCACAGCCGCCGCCGGCACTCGAGGACGACGAGGCAGAGGGCCGCCCCCCCTCCCCGGGGCACGAGAAAGACCATGGGGGACGGGCCCGGCGAGGGCTCGAGCCACATGCGGGTCATCGTGCGCGTGAGGCCGCCCAACGCGCGCGAGATGGACACCAACCACCGACTCGTCGTGCAGGTGAGCGTCCCGTCTCTCCCCCCCCCGCCCCCGTTTGTCACACGAGCCAAGCGGGGCCCAGCCTGGACAGTACTGGGATTGTGATGACTGCAGAGAACCACCGCCTCGCTGTGCGGCGAGCGTCCCATCTCGCTGGATCTCGCAAGCAAAGCGGCGCTTGAGCCTGGTTTAGTTTGGTTGTAGCCACAAGTTCCCAGGATTACTCTTGACAGGCTCCTCCGATTGGCATGGTTGGCCACGTACAGCGCAAAAGAAGTTCTACGTACGTACACTAAAAACAGACGCAGACACATTCTACGTCTACGCTCCCGTGCTGCACAGGTTAACCGATGTGGCTCTGTTTTTACACACTTTTATTTAAGTTGCCCTGCTTTGTTTATATTCTTTCAAATCTTTGACGCTTAATATCTACGAAGCCCAACGTGCTGAAATGTGGTACACACGGACTCGTCTTCGCGTGACGATTAAGTATTTCATTTAAAGAACCGGTTCCAGGTCCCGCTGATCCTGGGCCTCTGGGATTTTTACTTTAATTGTTGTTGCACCATTTCAAATGTATATTAAAATGATCCAGACTATAATAAACTATTGTTAGTGTCTGGATTGAGGTCTTAGAATCACTATATACATATACAAATTATTTTCACAAGATGAACATGACAGTTTTGGGGAAAACACACGTGCTTCAATGCACACACACTTTTATCTGCCCTCAAAAGTAGAAAATAAATTATCTTGACTCCAGCATTAATTAAAATTTGATGTTCTGAATAAAAGTGGGTGGCTTCCTTTCGATATGTTTTAATATTCTTTTTTGAAAGCTGCCTGCTTTTTACTCAGCACATCAAATTTGATTCATTCCGGGGTCAAAATAATTAATATTCTACTTTTGGGTGCAAATTAAAGTGTGTGCATTAAAGCACGTGTATGTCACCAATTTTCTTAAATTATAGTTAAATTTGCATGTTTTCCTGCGTCTCATTTGGTTTAATCTGTGCCGCCCCTCGAGTAGACTACTGTATTTTCCCGCATATAACCCGCGGGGTATACCACTTTTTACAAACAAGACAAGACCCTGCGGGGTATATGGAGGTGCGGCCCATCCCAAAAATATTTTACACGTGTGACATGTCATAACTCGTTAAATTTCTTCATGTTAGGACTATCCACTATGCAACACTTACCTTTGACTTAAGCACTGCTGAATAAATCCACTCACACTAAAATTGCACACGTTATCACGTTTTAAATGATTCGAATTGTTTGTACAATGAAACGACAAGACAGTGTTTGAAGTGGGCGCACTTTGTTTACCGGCGACGGGAGAGCTGCGGGGAGAGAGAGGTTGGGGGGGGAGGCAACGGCGTTACAGTAGTGCCGCTATTGTCTGCGCAGTGCGCAATCTACCAGTGCTAAAACTGTACTCACTTATCTACCAGTTAGGTGTCACTTATTTATTGGACATTTACTTCTGTTACTTATTTACTGTTTTAAGTTCACTCTATTCCGGTTAGTTTGTTTTCTCTGTGCACGTTATGATTTTAATGTTAACAATTGATAGTGGAATGTATTACAAATGTAAACTTCTCATTAATATGATGGAATTAAGCTGCGGTAACGACGTTAAAGATATGAATGCATGCGGGGTATATGGAGGTGCGGCCTATCTGAAATTTGTTTTACACAAAACGCTATTTTTGCGGGGTATATGCGTATGCGGGCTATATGCGGGACAATACGGTACTTGGAGCGCGGAGACTACTGGGGGATATGTGATGATGCAAAGCTGCCCTGTGAGAAGGCCAAGAGATGGCATTAAAGCAATGGATTCCTGAATCGATTTGTATTGAACCTATCCTATCCAAGTACTAGCCAGCCCCAATGCAACAATGGATTCTCATATCTAGCTGTAAAGTACGGACCAGGCTCAGGCTTTACTTGTCTTTTTGACGCGCGACAAGACCGGACACATTCTGTGTGATTTAGTCACAGTGACTATAGATCCATCGCGAGGGTGTTGTAGTGGCGAAGAGTATATACGTACAGTAAAACCTTGGATTGCGAGCATAATTCGTACCGGAAACGTGTTTGTAATCCAAAGCACTCGTGTACCAGTCGCGATCACGTGACGCTCGGGAGTACAAAGCGTCTACACGTACGCTGCTCGTATTGCAAGACCCTCGCTCGTTTATCAAATTAATATTCATTTAAAATGTTTGCTCGTCTTGCAAAACACTCGCAGACCCAAGTCACTCGCAATCCAAGGTTTTACTGTATACATTTTGTATCGTTACGCAGCAGCACCCCCCCCCCCCCCCCCCCCCCCGTGTCTGCCGACTAGCCATGGACAACGCGAGACTCGGCTGTGTGTCTGCACAAGGCGATAGCGGCTTTACGGTCGGCCGGGCGGCTCAGAGGTCAGAGCGCCGCTGAGATCAGCATGTCCCCTGTGCTCGCCCCCCCCCCCCCCCCCCCCCCCGTCATTAAAAAAAGCTGGGTTCTCAAGTGCAGCGGAGTTGAGGGCCTCAACCCGGTCGCCCGGTCGGCGGCGATTGCAAACAAAACGAGCAAGAAACTTGACCCAATTTCACGGAAACCTAATCGGTGTAACCGGGCACGTCTCGGCCCAGTGTTGGCCGCCCGCCCCTCCGCACTTGAAAAGAAAACCGCTGGCGGGGGTGCGCCGGAGCAAGCGGGCCTGTCGGCACAGTCGGCACAGTCGGCGCACACTGCGCCGCGAAACCCCGGCAGCCCGAGTTCGATTCCCCGGTCACGGCTAATGTCGGCGGCGAGTGACGTCTCTGAATCAATCATGAGACTCCCCCGTCACCCCCCCCCACCCACCCCTTCACCAACCTCCAATGAGCAGCGTGTGTTGGTAAGTCGATGACTGTCTGCACTGATGTGGTGCAGCGCATGCAGTCGTGTGTTCGTAAGTCGAGGACTGCCCCGCGTTGCCCAATGTATGGACAGCCGTGTGTTTGTAAGTAGAGGACCGCCTGCCCCGAAACGAGTGATGTGTGCTGTCCGCAAGTCGAGGACTGACCAGTGAGGGCGCAGGCGACCATGTGTTCGTAAGTCGAGTACTCTGTGCACCTATTGGCGTGCATGAATGGTGACATTGTTCGTAAGTCGATGACTATCCCCGTGAGGATACAATTTGCTCTTGTAGGCCACTGTCCGGCATCTACATCTGCAGAACACGAAGAACCAGTGGCATCTACATCTGCAGACCATGAAGAACCAGTGGCATCTACATCTGCAGAACGTGAAGAATCAGTGGCATCTACATCTGCAGAACATGAAGAATCGGTGGCATCTACATCTGCAGAACATGAAGAACCAGTGACATCTCCATCTGTAGAACGTGAAGAACCAGTGGTATCCACATCTGCAGAACATAAAAAACCAGTGGCATCTACATCTGCAGAACATGAAGAACCAGTGGCATCTACATCTGCAGAACATGAAGAACCAGTGGCATCTACATCTGCAGAACGTGAAGAACCAGTGGCATCCACATCTGCAGAACATAAAAAACCAGTGGCATCTACACCTGCAGAATGTGAAGAACCAGTGGCATCTTCAGAACCAGTGGCATCTACATCTGTAGAACGTGATGAACCAGTGACACCTACAGGAGATAATACAACTTTAAAAGCCATTCTCCGTATTTCGTTTTACACGCCATACAACGTGTTTGGAATCGACAGGAGGAGTTAAGTTGAACTTAGGAACAAATCGACTTCCGAACAGACCTCTGGAACCTAGCTCGTTCGTCAGTAGAGGACATGCCCACAACGAATGATTTACAAGAAATTTACAAGCAATCATTCGTTGTTTGTTCAGCGATTAATACAACAACTACAAAAAAGCACCGCAGTCGGGAGTTATCCAAGCGTTTGCTTTTTTTGTTTGTTTTCCCCCTGAAAGGGACGATTCCCGGTGCGAGGCTATCCTGGAAATTTTTTTTTTATTGTAGGGAGCAATATTGTTACAAGGGGCAGCACGGGCGCGAGAGAGCGATGACACGGGCCCACCCAACTTGGAAGGATAGACGCCAGTAGCCGCGCGAGAGGAAAGTAACCCACGTTGCTCACACTGCTTGGGATGCAGCCGCCGGTGACGTCGGGGGATTTTTGTGTTCGGAGTCATTCACCACCCCTGGGGTTGGCAAGAGTCGCGCGTTCACAAATGTGCTTTGTGAGTGGCGGAGGCTCGAGCCGTGCGCCCGCGCTGCGATCACCGCCCCCCTCGTCATCGCGGGCCTCAGGACGTCACGGGCGCAGCCCGGAGGGAAAAAAGAAAAACTTGCAAAAGAACGAGACGGGAATGCGTGGATTTCTTTGGTTACGATTTCGACCGGTTCCATGCGGCCGTCGCGTGTAACCCGCGCGTGCCCGATGCTTGCCGTTGGTATCGCGACCCGCGTGCGTTGTGATGGTTGCCGAGGTCTGTACAGTGGGACCCCCGATTCCTTTTAACGACGGTGATCGGTTCCGCGACTTGGTCGTGTGTGGGTGATGCATGTTAGAGGCTTAATTCGTTCCGATTGCTTGTGCTCGTTGTGTAACCCCCGTTGTTTACAGGGGGAATGGTCGTTTAGCGAACACGTTGGGCTCTAAATTTTGATTTAAAGCTTTCGTGACTGCAGGGATTCATGTTCTTGGTTCTTTCGGTAAAGTCACGTAGAAGGGAAACAATGAAATGATAAAAATATGAAGCAATAAAATTATCACGACGTTTCGCCGTGACGTCCTGATGATGATTGCTTGTGTTGCAGTCGAAACGTCGTGAGGATTTTATTGTTTTAATATTTTAATCATTTTACTGTTTCCCTTCTACGTGACTTTACCGAAAGAACCAAGAATATACATTGGGCTCTATTGGAGGCTCGTGGTCAGGCGATTAGTAGTTAACAGGGGTGGTCGTTAAGAGGGGTTCTACTCTACACAACTGTACACGACTGTGCTCGACGCTGTCGACCACACTACTACACACTACGCTGCACACTACACATTGGGCTATATGGAGGGCCGTCGTTAAGGGGTGCCCGTCAACAGGGGTTCTCTCCCGTGCCGTGCAATGGCTGTCTGCACCGACGCGGGACGCCGCACGAGACGGAGCCCTCTCACGGCTTATTGGGGCCCGTCCTTGCGGGCACGCCGCGGGACGTTGAAATTGGCTGGGGAGTCTCCCGGAGGCGCATGACCCCCGCCTCGGTCATGCAGCGCGGCCCGCGCGCCAACAGCGGAGTGCGGAGAGCGTCCCTCTCCCCCGGAAGCGCCCTCCGAGTGTCCCTTGAAATTCCCGCCGGGGATCGTTATCTAAAACCTGGAGGAATCCCCAGCAGCTTCTGAAGTCCCTTGTCGCAGATGTCCAGACGGTGCACGGGGTGAGAACGGCACGACAACAACAACAACGACAACAAGCCGGTGCCAAAAGGCACGATAGGGGTGCGAAGTACAAGAGGGGTGAACGAGTCGTCGAAACAAATAAAGACTGAACCACCCTCACCCCCTACCAGGCAAAGCCCGCTGAGGTTTTAATTAATTGTTCAGGAGCGAACCTGGCCGCAAATGACCTGCGTGACAAAGTGGCCCATCGTTCGGGCGTTTATAGCACCGAAATTATCTCGGGTAATCTTCACAGACGTTCACACCTTCCCACGCGCTCCGCTCTTGAGGTTCAGCTCGTAGGCATTCGCAGACAATTTTGTTGTTTGGTAATTTGATTAGTATACGTGCGTGTTTTTTTTTACGTTGCCTGAAACCTCCTAAATTCTACTAAATTAATATTAAGATTTGCATTGAAATGCCAATTTTTGATTATCAGACTTAGAATTGAGCCAATTGCGGTCGATTCCTTCCCTCCACCACCCACTCTGCGCTCCCCCGAATTCATAGTCGCGTGTTTTTTTGCACAGTTATTGCCGACCGGGTTGAGACCATCGACTCCGTTGCGCTTGAGAACCCAGTTTTTTTTTAATGACGGGCGGGCTAGAACAAAAGGACATGCTGATCTCAGCGGCGCTGGATTAGCGGCGCTCTGACCTCTGAGCCGCCCGGCCGACCGTAAAGCCGCTATCGTCTCTGCGTTGTCAACGGTTGGCAGTCACGGTGGGTGATGCCACATTGATTGTTTAACTATTTAATTGGGGGGGGAGGGGGGGGAGGCTTTGCGGTATGTGCGTTTCAAGCATTGTACGTGGCGCTGATTGCAAAGACTCGTGGGTGGGGGTTAAGTTGGGGCGAACTGCGGCTTGAAGAACTTTTGGGTGAACTTCGCGCGCGAAGTCCACCTGAGCACGATGCAAATGCCAAGGTTGGGGAATCAAATATCGCAATGATCGCCGCGTCACGATTTTTGGCTCGTTTCGTATCGTGAGAAATCGCCACGGTGGCAATCCTCGCTGGAAACGCGCGGCGCTAGCTAGCTTTACGTTCCGATTGCTGCTTCGGGGGTTTCGACCGACGCGGGTCAACTTGCCCCCCCCCCCCCCGATCCTCGCGCCCTCCGTTGCGCAGGTGGTGGACGAGCAGATGCTGGTGCTGGACCCCAAGGAGCAGGCGGAGCCCAGCTTCCTACAGGGGCGGCAGCTGCGGCAGCGCAACATGCTGGCGCGCAAGCCCAAGGACCTGCGCTTTGTGTTTGACCGCGTGTTCGACGACACGGCGACGCAGCAGGAGGTGTTTGAGGGCTCCACGCGCTCGCTCGTCGAGGGCACGCTCAACGGCTTCAACTGCACGGGTAACGGGGGACACGCAGCGCGTCCTCACACGTTGCGGGGGGGGGTTCTAGTTTATAACAATACGGGCTCGGTGTTAGTCCGTGGGCACTGTGTACGCGCGTGTGTGTGTGTGTGGGGAGCGGTCTTTGTCTTTGTGTGGGTCATGTGTGTGGGTCTGCGTGTTCTCGAGCGGTAGGGTCGCAGGTCAGCGCGCTTGCGCAACGGACCTGGCGGCCCGAGTTAGGTTTTCCGCTCGCGGTCCGACACCGGTGACGATTACCTGGGCCTCCCCTCGATCGACTCGGCCTGAAATGAGTGTGTAAACATCGCCACTGGGGAGACAAAGGCGGACGGGCGTGGCGTTGGCCGCCCACCCCCTCGTGTGCCGTGCCGGCTTTCACAGGTGCTCGCTGACGGCGTCCGCCCCAACAGTCTGCGACAGGCTACACGGGGGATCTTTGTCTTTTGTTTGTGCATCTATGCGTCCTTTGGGTCTGTAGCTCCTGTGTCAGTCTCTGGGTCCTATGTAACTGTGTATGTTGAACTTCTTTAGCACCGTACGCGCGAGTTTTATGTGTTGTATGCAAGTCTCTGGGTCCTATGTTACCCTGTGGGTCCGATGTGAATCTGTGTTTGGACCCTTGGTCTGTGCCAGAAGCGGAAGGGTGTCATCACTTTTTCGATTTAAAGCTTTTGTGACTGCAAGGATTCATCTTCTTTGGTTCTTTCGGTAAAGTCACGTAGAATGAGAATAAAATAATTAAATAAAATAACACAATAACATTCTCACGACGTTTCGGCCACAACGCAAGCGGCCTTCCTCAGGTGAAAGGAACAGACCTGTCGGGACGACAGAGCTTCAATACCTGTCGGGACGACAGAGCTCTGTCATCCCGACAGGTCTGTTCCTTTCACCTGAGGAAGGCCGCTTGCGTTGTGGCCGAAACGTTGTGAGAATTTTATTGTGTTATTTTATTTTATTATTTTATTCTCATTCTACGTGACTTTACCGAAAGAACTAAAGAAGAGGTACCATCACCGTTAGATTTTTTGCCAGGTGCAACAGACAGCTCTCCCTGGTGGCTGTTACAGGCAGCAGTCCTCCGAAAGCGTCTAGAAACTTCTTTCATATCTAATCCCATACCTACCATCAAAGGTCAACAATTGATGATCAAGGTCGGCCACATTCATTGAGCTTTGCTCCCTATCTGTATTCTAAGTAAAGTGTGTCGGAAGTAGCCGGCCATTCACCAATTATGCCAAAACTTATCAAGGTTGGTTGTGTTAATTATTTTGATGTATGTTATGGATAATATCTCTGGAGAGACCACAAATAGCCCTGCTGGATTTCGTTTTTCTTGCCATGTTATCTTGCGGTCAAGGTCACCACATTTTGGTTGCAAAATAACTATTGGAAGTCTTATGGCAATACAAAGACTCCTCTAGTTATGAACATTTGACTTTCCAACTTTCAGAGACACAAACAAACCTATCTCTGTGTCCCGTTGCCCGTTAGAACCGATAGTCGTAAGTTCAACCGCCGCGCAACAGATGGCTGTGGTGGCATCTACGTCTGCAGAACGTGAAGAACCAGTGGTGTCGCCTTCATCTACATTTTGAAGTCAAGTTGTTACTAGCGGCCTCGCCACACACTTTGGTTCACAATCGTGTAAAAAAAAAAAATGTAACGTTAATAACTACACAGGGTTTGCTTGAAACAAAGTAGTTGTACGTATGTGCCCGTGCTTAAAAATATCTGGCCACCCCCGGAAAAGGCATCTCACACGCGCCCGCACCCCCAGGGGGTGCCCGCGTGTGTGTGATGCGCCCCAGGTTAAGAACCACTGCCCCTAGCGTCTCCCGGTCCTTCGCAACAACGATGGCAACTAAGAATATCGCTGCGGCAGCGGCGACTCGAATGCACGCGGCGCCCGTTGGCACCGTGGCGGGCGCGACTCGAGAGGACGGAGGCGGCCTTCGTGTTCATTTTCTCTTTTGGTTTTGCGCCACAAGTGTTTGCCTACGGAGCGACGGGCTCGGGCAAGACTCACACGATGCTGGGAGCGCCGGGCAACCCGGGCGTGATGTTCCACACCATGGTGAGCCTCTACCGGCACATCAACGACGTCCGGGACGAAAAGCGCTGCGACGTGGCCATCTCCTACCTCGAGGTGCGTTGTTGTTGTGCCGTCGGACGCCTTGTCGCCCGCCCGCCCGCCCGCTGCTTGCTCTCTTGTCTCCCACGCGCTCTCGCTGCACGCGACCCTCAGGATGCAAATCGACCGTTTATACTATGTATGTTCACGTAAGCGTGCACAGCGGCCCCTCGGTTTCCGATGCGATCAATTCGCGATAGTTAGATTGGCGATCCGCCTCCCATTGTTTCTGTTAATGATAAATGTTCGTCAGTTTAACACGTACTGGCGAAACGTCGTACTCAAGATTGTGTACATGTTGTGAATTTGCTCCCCAACACACCGGTGTGCCGTACTCGCAACGAATTTGCATGTTCTGCTTACGTGACAAACCTTACTAATTGGCTGTGTCGGGTGGTTTGCGGGTTTCACGACACATTTACATTCACGCGATTTAACCCAACAAAACTTGCATTATGGGTAGATGTTCGATTAACGATCATGTTTAACGATTTCACGCCGACCCGACAATTTTCGGCCAATCGGAGCGCTCCTAAGTGGACTTGGCAGCAGACATGTTCTTTGGTTTTATTCGGTAAAGTCACGTAGGTAAATTAAAACAAAATAACTTTACCGAATAAAATCAAAGAATATGAATCCTTGCTGTCACGAAAGCTTCAAATCCAGAATTAGAAGCAGACCTCAGCCAATCAGCGAGCCGTCCCTTTTATGGGCGTTTTGAGAGCAACCGGCCTGCAAGCTTTTCTTAGCCTAACGTGATAATGTTTATTTTATGCTCTATTTATTGACCGTTCATCCATGTGTCTATCAATATTAATGTTTTTTTTAGATGTGGTTATGTTTTTTTGTGTTTTAAATTTGTTCATGGGCATACATGAACATGCAAATACATAAAAAATATCCGGCTTTAAAAAGTTACCGTATTTACTGTACCGTACTTACCACTCCAATCTCGAAGAGACTCCATGGGGTGATGTATATATGTGCAGCATTTTCATTATTTAACGTGTATGTATGTAGTGTGGAATGTACCATTTGTAATATTTAACACTGAAACCAAGTTATATGTAGGATTTGTACGTAGTAAGTTGTATGTAGTACGTAGTAGAGTTTATATGTTGTGAGTAAGTTGTATGTAACCTATGTAATATTTAACACTGATATTAAGGATCGCTACTTTTGTTTTTGTAACGCTACGCGGTGTCCATCGCCGGACTGGGTAACAGCCTTTGGAGCGGATTTGCTGGTTTTGCCGGATCGGCCCGGGACTGCCGGATAATGTTGGAAGCAGCACGGATAATTGCGCAGCGCCGGATAATTATCGATGACCGACCGTGCTCAGCAATCATCGCCACCCTTCCCCCCCTCCGCTGGGAAAACTTGGAATGACCCTTCTGAAAGAAAATACAGTCACGAGACTCAGTGAGGCTTTCCTGGGTAAACAAGCAGAGTCGTAATAGGTAATGATTCATTATTTACTTGGTCGTTATAAAGCTGTGAAGTGTGAACAAAGCGTCTCGGGTGTTAATTGCGTGTGAATGTAATTATAATGTAGCAATGTTGAATAATTTAATAACTTATTATGACCTAAATTGCAGGTAGGGTCTACGCGGACAAGTTAATTAAAATACTCAAAACTATTTTTTTTACTTTGCCAAGCAAGGCCCCACTGAGCTATGTAGGGAGCTCTTTTTTTAGAAGCTACCTGGCTATCACAAATGGTAGCTAAAAGATGCACACGACCACAGGCCGAACATGCAAACTCCAAATATGCAGCAGGCATCAGAGTTGGGAACGAATCCACGACCTCTTGCGTACCGCGCGAGGTAGTTAACATCTAGCCACCGTGGTGTTGAGAGAGAGATACAGACGCAGACTCTGAATATCCAGCAGGCGTCGTCAGGGTCGAGATCGAACCCACGACCTTTTGCGTACCAGGCCAGGTCGTTAACATCTCCTAGCCACCGTGGTGTTGAGAGAGAGATACAGACGCAGACTCTGAATATACAGCAGGCGTCGCCAGGGTCGAGATCGAACCCACGACCTCTTGCGTACCAGGCGAGGTCGTTAAAATCTCCTAGCCACCGTGGTGATGATGATGAGAGAGACACGCATACTCCAAATATACAGCAGGCGTCGCCAGGGTCGAGATCGAACCCACGGCCTCTTGCGTACCAGGCGAGGTAGTCGACATCTAGCCCATGCGAACGTTGAGCGACGGTGCCGCGGCCGTTGTGACCGACGCACGTTCCCCCCCCCCCCATCCCCCCCCCCCCCGCCTCTCCCTCCCCAGGTCTACAACGAGCAGATCCGAGACCTGCTGATCCCGTCGGGGCCCCTGGCCGTGCACGAGGACCCCCAGAAGGGCGTGACCGTCAAGAATCTCACGCTGCACCAGGTGACGAACCCCAGCCCCGCGCCCACGGCACTGGTGTGCAGGTTTGCGGCCGTTACAAACCGGGGAGGGTGGGGGAGGGGAAGTTTCCTCCCCCCCCCCCCCCCCCCCCCCCCCCCCGCCCCCCCCCCCCACCCCCCCCCCCCCCCCCCCCCCGCCCCCCCCCCCCCCCCCTCCGGTAATCGCGCGAGACATAAAGGTTTTGCCCCGGCTTGTGCCGTGCAGATTGAAATTTAAAAAAAGTTAAGTCGATGTCGAGCCTCAGGTTTGCCGCCCACCCCCTTTTGTCTGTTGCGGTTGCACCCGATTCAAGAGCCGAATGGCTCACAGGGCTATACCAAAAGAAATGAAACTACGAACTAACTATGAACTATGATGTGCAGAGGAAGGTGAAGTTGTGAGTAAGCCCTCCCCCCCCCCCAACACCCTTCCAAAACACGTCCGGCGAATGTGGTCGCTCCAGTGCTGCTGCGGCCGCCTCTGCAGTACAGTGGTTGCAATGTCCATAGAGCGGCGGGGCGGAGCTTGGTTGATGTTGACTGGCGTGGCTCTGCCGCTGGCCACTTGGTGGGCCGAGTCGTCTGCAGGAACGGGAGCAGTGAAGTGTTATCGCTGCGCGCGTGCGTTGATCGGTAATGTATAGTAGTGTGTAGTGTAGCGCGTAGTGAATAGTGTATAGTAGTGAAAAGTGTATACAAGTGTCGTGTATAGTAGCGTGAAGTTGAACCCCTCTTAACGACCACCCCTGTTACCGTCTAATCGCTTAATGACGGGCCTCCATAGAGTACAATGTGTGGTCTGTAGTATATTTGTGTATAGTGTAGTCTATAGTATAATAGTGTATAGTGTAGTCTATAGTATAGTCGTGTATAGTGTAGTCTATAGTATAATAGTGTATAGTGTAGTGTATAGTGTAGTCTATAGTATAGTAGTGTATAGTGTAGTCTATAGTATAGTAGTGTATAGTGTAGTCTATTGTATAGTGTAGTGTATTGTGTAGTCTATAGTATAGTAGTGTATAGTGTAGTGTATAGTGTAGTCTATAGTATAGTAGTGTATAGTGTAGTGTATAGTAGTTTCGTGTATAGTGTAGTGTATAGTGTAGTGTGTATTGTATAGTATATAGTGTAGTCTATAGTATAGTAGTGTATAGTGTAGTCTATTGTATAGTGTAGTGTGTAGTGTATAGTATAGTAGTGTATAGTGTAGTCTATAGTATAGTAGTGTATAGTAGTGTAGTGTTAAGTGTAGTCTTTAGTATAATAGTGTAGTGTATAGTGTAGTCTATAGTATAGTAGTGTATAGTGTAGTGCATAGTAGTTGTGTGTATAGTGTAGTGTATAGTAGTTTAGTGTGTAGTGTATGTAGTGTATAGTGTAGTGTATAGTGTAGTGTATAGTAGTGTATAGTGTATAGTAGTGTATAGTGTAGTGTATAGTGTAGTGTATAGTAGTCTATAGTGTAGTGCCTCCATAGAGCCCAATGTATTCGCTTACCGACCATTCCCCTGTTAATGACGGGCTGTTGTAGGTCCAGTAAATGTTAATTAATGCATCCATTAACCATGTTTCTTTTAATATTACCTGTTTATTATTATGATGTTAGTGTCTTTATGTATTAATATCCATTGTTTGAATATGATAAAGTACCTTCATCTGGTGAAAAAGGGTAACTTCGGATGCTATCGGAACGCATTAAGCCTTCAGTACTCGCTTAAAGACCGAACCGTCGTTAAGAACCACTTGCATTCGTGTTTTTTTGGCATAGAGATCCGCGGAAAATGGATATATTTGGATTACCCGCGATCGTGTATTATCCGCGCGGCCGTCCTCCCCGTCAATTAGCGCAGATTACCGAGAGTCTCCTGTACACACGCGCGCACACGCGCACACACGCGCACACACAGACGCGTACGTAAAAAATGAATCCCGTTCCCGCGTCTCGGTTTTCCGAGCGAGCCGCTTGGGAGAAGCGGCCGGTGCTGCCGCCGCTGTCGTTTTCTCTCTCTCCCCGCGAGGGTTGTTGACCTTTCCCGCCCGCCCGCCCGCCCGCCTCCCTGCGAACTGCAGCAGCCAAGCGCCTAAAACCGCGGACAGCTTCTTGAGATGCTCAGACATTCGGTATAGTTTGGTGCGGGCGGGCGGGCGGGCTGGGCTGGGCTGGTTTGGTGGTTGTTCATGAGATTTGGGCGCAAGCGTTGAACTGTTCCCGATGACAGATGTTGTGGAACCGCGCCCCCCCCCCTCTTCTCGGTCGGATTCATTTTAAGACGCTCGCAAACCCAGACGTCCGGGCAAAACCAGGGGGGTGGATGTTCCAGGTAAGAAATGTTTTAACGTGAGAAGAGAAGAAATGCTTTAATTTAACGAGCAAAATTTTGTTTTTTTAATTCCTCGGCGCGACGGCGACGCTGACGTCCACGTGACGCCCGCCGTTTTTGGCAGGAGATGGACTCGGACGCTTCGCTTTTTTCGGACGCGCTTCTGGGGGGGGAAAAAAACAAACTGGTTTTCGGATCGATCCTAAAACTGGAGGGGACGTTCCACTAATAGGAAGTCACTAATAGGACGTCACCGATGACGTCATCTCCTGCTGCAGGATCGATCCGAAGCAGTGTTTTTGTCGGGGTGCGTCCGGGATTTCTCTTCCCAAGTCCTGATTCTCGAATTTTTTTTTTTAAACTCGGATTGTCAATCCGAGAAATAGGAACACGCATTCCACCCCCCCCTCCCCGGCCGTGTTGTGTCATGTAAAGTACAGCCCTTGGGTCAGCCGGGTGCAGGCTTCCCCCGCGAGTTTTGGCCCTGTCCACTTTCCTTTTTTGACCATACTTCACCACGTTGGTCAGTGCCGGGATGGCGAAGTGGCGGGTGGGAGGGGGGGGGGTGGGGGTTGGTGGGCAGGACTGGCTCGGCCGTCCGTCGGCCGCGGCCGGAAATCTCAGGCCACCGGCGGCCAGCTTGGCTCGGAGTCCACGAGCCGCGACCTTTTCGCCCCTTCACCCTGTGCCTTCGGACGCTATAACCATGCTTCGAATTAACATCACAGCACGCTCCACGCGTCTTCACTCGCACGTGCGTCTCCGTGTTCTGTAAGCACGCGACGAATTTACGTCGTCAGCCCTCCGACTCCCTCCCTCCCCTCCCCTCCCCTCTCTCCCTTCCCTCCCTCCCTCCCTCCCCTCCCCTCCCTCCCTCGAGTGCTGCTTCTATTCATTTCGTCCCTCCGGTGGGATACGCGCGCGCCCGCCCGCTGCACCTTTGCGCTCAGTAATTTAGCACGAGTCTCAAATGTTTTTTTTTCTTTCCCCAACGCTCGAAGCGCGGGATCGTGAGCGCAGAGACTCGGCTTGCATTTGCGAGTTGGCGAAGGACCGTTATTTCGCGCGGGCGGCGCACGCCGCTGATTTTTCGAATGCACCCGCAGCCCTCCGTCAGTCCACTGCCGGACGAAGTTTCTCTTCCTCTTGCCACGTCGGTCACAGGGGGCGGCGTTGGGGGGGGGGCGGGGGGTGGGGGGGGGGCAGCGTTTGGTTATATCTAACCGCACAGGTCGGCGCGTGCCCGTGAAGGGCGGACGGGGAAGCCCCAGGACCGGTTCAGATATCGCCTTCACCGCGCCCCACCTTCCTTTAGCGGTTGCAGGCCTCACCCCGGACCGGTTGCGCACAAGCTAAGTGGCAGGAAAACCGTGGGCCCGGCCTCGCAAATCCGGCAGCGCGCCGCGCCGCTCCGCCGCGCCGCTCCGCCGTGCCGCTCCGCCGTGCCGCTCCGCCGTGCCGCTCCGCCGTGCCGCTCCGCCGTGCCGCTCCGCCGTGCCGCTCCGCCGTGCCGCTCCGCCGTGCCGCTCCGCCGTGCCGCTCCGCCGCGCCGCTCCGCCGCGCCGCTCCGCCGCGCCGCTCCGCCGCGCCGCTCCGCCGTGCCGCTCCGCCGCGCCGCTCCGCCGTGCCGCACGTACCGCGAGCGGTCGCAGCGCTCCGGGGGAAAGACAACTTTCTCGTTTCGGGCTCGTGGCGGGGGCCGGTTGGGACGCTCGTGTCTGCCGCGTTCGAGATGAAAACCTGCTCCGTGGGCGGAGTTGCTGTTGTTTTGATTGCTAGCCCCTCCCCTCCCCCGCCCGCCCGCCCGCCGCCCCCACCCTCTCCCCCCCACCCACCACCACCACCACCACCACCGCGCGCGCACCCTGGCACCCGCTCCCGCCGCTTTCCCGCTCGGCGTGTAATGAGCTCGCCAGATGCGGACAGCAGAGGTCAGCCTTTCATGTGCGGGGCGGCGCGATCGGAGGTTTTTTGCGTCATGGCGAGCCCTCCGACGCCGGGGTGGTGCGTCACGAGCCATCGACCCAGGCGGCTGGAGGCTTAACCCCCTCCCGGCCCGCGCGGCAAAACCGACAACGGCCACGAGTCGGGGCGGGCGGGCGGGCCTCAAGCGCCCCTGTTCTGTGTTGTCGAGCTCCGGCACGCGAGCTCGTTTGCCGTCGCACTTCCCTTGCGGACGTCGGCGGCCGGGCCCTTGGCCTCGCTCGCTCGCGACGCAACGCTCCGGGGGTGGATGCCGCTGTTTAACCGGCGTCTTGTGTCTCCCCCCCCCCCCCCCCCGCCCCGTCCGCCGTCCGCGATAAATACAGTGACCCACATTTTGTCATTTGTAGGGCGGCAGCTGTCAGTGCGGGAGGTGGGTGACGACTGGCGGAGGGGGGGAGGGGGGGGGGAAGAAATGAGAGTGCAAATCCTGCCGTGTTGGCGCTTAATTTAATCCCGGGTCCTCGGGGGACTGCTTGTGAATGGGTTAAGAGCACGGCCTCGTTAGCGAGCTCGGCGGAGTGTGCGCGTCCCGCGTGTTAGCGCCGCCGTGCGTGGCGGCGAGGGAGACTCCGCCCTTGACGACGTCGCCGGCACGCTCGTAGATTAGTCGACTCGCGCGCTCGCTGGCCCTCTGGCTCGCTGGCTCGTCGACTTGCACGGCCGTCTGGCTCGCTGGCTCGTCGACTTGCACGGCCGC